GTTTGGAAGCAAAGTTTCAGATCACACAAAGACATGAAGAAAAATCACATCCAAAAACATACAGGCACAGAAAACACGTCAAATCAAATCAAATCAAAACACACATCCAGCAAGACACATGTGGAGAATTTGGTCTTTAGGTTGATACATTCATGAAATGGAGAAGGCTAATTGTCATTTATTCAAGTACAACTCAAGCGGGTCCATCACACTTATGTTTAAAATGGAAGCAAAGATGTGCTTACTTTGACGAGCATTAGTGTTTTTCAGACATTTTAAGTTAAGCTTACAACATTTTAGGGATAAACTGTCCTTTACTGTCCTCTGAGAACTGAGTAATTATCTGATGTGTTAACACACAGCACATAATAATAATAATAATAATAATAAAATCTTGTTTAGGTATAGATTGTGCTTATCCTGATTCATCTGTACATGATTAGACACTAAAGTTGCTCTTCATGTACACTGTAGATCTACATAATTTATGTTATTTAACAGAAAGCAACACAACATAAACAAAGAAACAAACAGACATCTTCCAGAACATGTGTGATCATAACCAAAGCTGTAATCAACAAGAACGTCGACTAGAATTAACGTAAAGCCTTTAGTCTTGGTGTTTTCTCCCGACAGACCGTTGAGCAATCATGGAGTGAGGGACGGCTTAGTTATGCAAATATTTCCCAAAGGCAGAGCTGCTTCAGTATGAAGAAATCATCTCTTTGAGCAGGTAAAGAACTACATTTCTTTAGCCGAGTAATCATTAACTCACACTTTATACCAAATCAGGTTGCCGCTTGTGCCAGGGCTAGCATGATTTTCAGGGCAACTTAATCTCAGTCTAAGGCAACGAGAATTATGGCTTTAAAAATGTATTGCACATATTTCAAACACAGTAATTTTGGACAATATTGCAATTGATGCTGAAATATTGCAGTTAGCCTTTGACCAAGATCATCAAAGGTAAAACAATCACAATATATATTTCAAAGTAATCAGTTATATATTAACTTATTTATTCAAAATATTAGTTAATTTATTAGCTAGCTCACTTTGAATTAAAAAAAACTGTTAAGGGTCGTTAGTTTTTGTTTTATAAACTATTTATGCTTAACTTTGTTTGACCGGTTACGTTTTACTGCTTTACCATAAATAATGTATTTTCAATTCAGTGTTTACGAAAGACTGAGGTTCGAGTTTAGTGGCAAAAAAAGTATAAATGCAGATTTCAAAGTAAGCAGTAATTCCACATTATATTCTATGTCCATTTAAATATTAGCTATACTAGTAAGATTGGGAGTTTTGTATCTGAGGTTGCTTAATGTTGATCTCAAGAGAAATCTGGTTTTAGGATATGTATTAGTGGTACTGTGATTAATGTTTGTGGCCAAAACACTTAAAAGGGGTGTAGCAAGTAATCAGTCCATGGTTTGGTTCATACCTTGCTGTTTTCTTTAATTCAATTGCTCTTAGGTATTTCCAGGGGACTGTCTTTGGATGATCTTTCAACACCAGACTAGCGTGCCTTAACTAGAAAGTAACAGTTCCACATGGCATCAGAAGATGGAGCCAAGTGGGAAGTGATTCATTTCTCTGAATTGATACACCTACACTGGTTAATTTAGTTTTTTGTTTGTAACGTCCAAAACGACTATTATGACAGGTAACTCCGATCCGAGAAGTCTAGAAGAAAAGACGTAAAAATCTAATATTACGTGTTTCAGATACAGGATGAACTGAAGGGCTGTATAAAAGGACCATTCAAGGATTATTTTTAACTCAAGGAACGACAAAGGAGAAACTTAATGCATCTGTTATGTTGTAGATGTTTTTACCCGTTAGATTGTTTTGTTTTTGAGCTTTTTATTTCAGGCTTCTAAGAGACGATCAGCGCCACCAAAGCAGCCCTGCGTTTGAGACATAGAACGTGGACTCTGACGTACCGACAGAATAACTCAGAACTTACTAACAGCACAAATTTGTTTGTATTGCTGTTAAATGTGTGCGTTTACAGCCATTACTGCGTTGTTCTTTTAAATCTGCATATTGCCCAGTCTGTGCGAGCTTGGAAGGAGTGTACTACACCGTATCAGTGTTTCCTGTTTAAGCCACAGTCGGTGAGAAGGCTGTGATCGCTTATGCACGGACACACTTGTGCGTCGCGTGCATGTGTGGCATGTAGGAAAAGAAAAAGGCGAAGAACGTGCAAACTGCTAAAGATGAACAGTGTGTTCTAGTATTCATCTTCAGTGGTTTGCACATCACTTCCTGTTTATGATTCATAGACAAAAAAAAAGAAAATCATGTCTTCCACAATAAATAACTGAAATCATAAACAACAGATTTATATTTTGGGCCCATTCAGACAGAGAAATGCAAGGAAGCTAACACAGAGCTGCAAAAGAGAACTTGGTGACTGGATTTCCAAGAGGATTTGTCAGTGACTGGGTCTCTCCTGTGGGCTGACATATAATTGCTAGTTTTTTTATCTTGTGCTTTTACATGAAAAAGTGCAGCAGTCCAATCAGATATTAGCTATGAAAGACTTCATAGTTGTTCTCCTATGCAAAGTGTCTCTGAGTGAAAGAGCTGATGGACTCAAAAAGAGCCTGTATCAGTTTTTAAGTTACAGATAAACCTGCACTGATTGAACCATTGCTCTACCAGTGAAGTCTCTATTTTAACTGGTAGAAGAAGTGCATGTGCAAGTAATTATAATCCAATCTTTCCAAACTGCAGAAAAATAAATAAAAAATGTAAAACATAATTCAGAGGGAAAAAAAACCCAGGTGGAGGTGTCCTCTTAAAACCCAAACACACCTCCACTTCTTTCTTCACTCCAGCTAAACAAACAGCTGCAGTCTGACTCGTGTTTTTGTGTATTATGGGGTGCCGGCAGGTGATCCTTTGAGGCTGTTAAGGGCTGCGTGGATCCTGAAGTGCAGTCTGGACTCCATGGAGTAGTCCTTGTAGTTCGTCCTGATGATGACACACAATCAGAATCTCAAATAAACACGCGTTTCGCAATCCTGCCTGCGCAGGAATGTTTTGTTTGGTTAGTATTTTTTTCTAAACCACTGTAAATACCTCACTCGTGCATTTAGTGCCAACTAAACAATGCTGTTTTTCCTGTCTGCGCAGCTCGAGTTATGGTTGCAAATTTCCACTGTAGCATCCTTAATATACACTATGAAGTGTCTTGATGCATGCTCAATCATCCAGGTAAGTAAATCTCTAAAAGTTGATTCTGTTCATCTGGACGTAGCATTTTCGTTTTCTCCGAATGAAAATGAATAGAATATAAGTGT